CCACCCCCCACCCCCCCAACCCTCCACCCCTAGCTTCCAAAAAAAAGCCACTGTCTGCTCTCTAGGAATGACCAGGCACCAGCTCCCACTGGACTCTCAGTTGTGGCAAGAATTTCTTTTTTCCTGCCTTATTTGAATTCTGTGGTGGTGAGAGGGGTATGATGGGTACCCAGCTTCCAATTGCAGGCTCCACTCATGGTGCTGGAGGAGATAGACTTTGCTGTGAAGGCTAGAGTTTACTCCTAGAGTGGTTCCTCTGTGAGGCGCTGGCAGCTGTCCTTTCTAGGTACATAAATCCAGTATATTCCACACTTTTGCCTGTATTTACTTGATGATGTCATTGTTAGGACCAAGAGGGAGTCGGCTGTGCCCAAGAGCTGTAAAGAATTAGCATTCCTCATTTCCTGAGACCCAGAGTTACTTCTCCATTCAAGTCAAATACCAAATGCCAGAATAAGTATCAGAGCACCTAGTTGCCCTAATACTTAGGAGGCTGAGGCAGGAGGATTGTAAGTTTGAGGCCAACCTGGGCTACATGATAAACTCAGACGTTATAGTGAATCTCTGTCTCACAAAACAAGAGCAAAACACTGTATCCTACCCTCCACCTGCACCTGCTCTAGGATGCCTAGGGTAAGCAGCCATTTCCCCCACTTGTGATCCCCGAGCATGTACTGTGGCAGACACTGGTTTCTGGAGCTTGCCCAAGGTAGTGGAGTCTCACAGCTAAAGATGAGTTTTGCTTTCTCCCTAGGGAGCCTTCCCTGCCTCTTGGCTCAACCTTGCAGAGTAGGGAGTCAGAGCTGGCAGAATGAGAATCTGAGAATGGAAGTGCCTGGCCAAAAGCTGTGAGTGAGCTAGAGTGAGGCCCCTTGGCAACTTGGGGTTGTGGCTATGCTGGCTGCAGGGCCTAGGCCCTGCTGGATTGGTGGATTGCCTTCTAGACACAAACTCCTCAGGCTATGACTACAGTAAAAGGCTTTAGAAAACGCAGCATAGCTGCTGTCTCCCTTGAGCTGTGGAGTCTGTTGCTCCAGGCAAGAGCATCTCTCTAGCATTTTAGTTGCTTGTGTCAGCCTTTCCTGCATATTTTCTTTGGTGAGAAACCTTTGTCTTTTGATTGTTAATTGGATTTTTGGAAATTGCAAAAGCACCAAAAGGAACCAAGGCGACTTTTTTTTTCTTTGTTTTTCCTTTTACCCAGTAATATAATGACTGAGCTGAGTGACAGTTGACTAGAAATTGCATGATCCTCCCCAGACTGCATGGAGACAGGCATGTCTCCATAGCTTGTTGGCCATTCTGCCTAGTTGAAATGACAAGTTTCCATCTCAGGGAAATGCCCTGTCTCAAGGCAGTGGGCTGAGTGTGCTAGAAAACATCTGGATGTTCTGCTTAACTGCACTGATTAAGCACACTTAATCTACATACACCTACACAAAGCTTATGACTCCAAGATGAGTAGTTTCTGAAGCAACAATATGGTTTCTAGAGGTGAGTTCCATTCCGTTCAGTGACAGTGACATTTTATCAATAATAAATGTATGTAGTGAGTGGCTAACAGGTGTCTATCTAGTAGAGGGCCAAGAACTTGTCTCCTCTCATGTGACCTCCTCAGGAGGAAGTCCCATCACCCATTATATATTATATTATATATATAATGAGACAGGTTTTCTCTGCGTAGCCCTGGCTGTACTGGGACATACCAAGCTGGCCTTGAACTCCTGATATCCACCTGCCTCTGCCTCCCCAGTGCTAGGATTAAAGGTGTGCACCACCTGGCTCCATCATTCATACCTTGTAGGTGATGAAACTGTGGAACTTGCCTGTAGTTACTTGTTATCTTCAGAAATTTGGGTTCTGGAAGTGACAATGATGAGCTCATGCAGCAGAGGTCAATTATTAGGGCATATAAGTTCTGATTGGTTCAGCGGTCTATAACCTTATATCTTCAAATTTCCTAAGTTAGATTGAATAGAGTGCTATATACATAACTAGCTATTCATGAAAAATGTGGATAGGCAGCATACAAATGAAGACCACAGATTAGCAGGTTGAGTGTTTATTTCCAGAAGATGAAGGCTGCACTCTAGATCAGAAACCTACCTCCTCCAACTTCTAGTGAAAGAACATACCTCTGGAGAGCCCGAGCCTTGACCCTGCCTCTCCCTTCACCCTGCCCAACACCCACATTCAGGCCATTTTGGAGAGAGATGTGGGGACTCGTGTAATTGCTACTCAAAACAGTTTACAACTCCAAAAGATAAGGGGGGGATGTAGGCTCAGAAGACACCTCTAACGCCGCCTGCTATGCAGCCCTGTCTAGGTCAACTACATGGAAGCCAGAATGCACTGGCAGAGGTCTTGGAGGGAGGAGTTTTTGAGGGAAGGCCCTAGGTCCTCCTCAGTCCTGAAGGGTTCCTAACTCAGAAAGGCTCTCCTGGGAGCTCTGTTTCTTGGACTATCCTCTGTGGCTTCAGGGTGGCCTCCTTCTGACCAAAGGGCAGTCACATGTGTAGGAAAGCAATAAAGGCTAATGAAAACAGTATTGAGGCAGGAAAGCGAGTGGGCTGAGCCCGTAGCAGGTAGCAGGGTAGAGGACTAGAAAGCTGCAGTGAAGTGGGTCTCAGGAGAGGGGCTGAGTTTGAGGCCAGCTTGGCGAGGGTGTGTTGTGTCTCACTCTCCACACCCTACCACTGCAAAAGATAATGGTATAGTGTTTCCATATAACTATATACATTTCTTTCATGCTTGAGATGGTAAAAATGTCAGTGTGGTGGTTGAGGCTATACAGTATTGTTGAGGAAACGAGAGAATTCTGTACACAATCAGTATGGATGGGCATCTTTATCTAGTGTTTCCCATTTACAGGTGGTTGAATCCCAGGGTACAGAGCACATACGTGCAGAACAGAACATGGGGCTGTGGGGCAGACTGTACTCCTTTCTTTGGTGTGAGGGTTCCGTGAGAGTGCGAGTAGCACAGTGTCTGGCCGGTAGGACGTGACCCGTGATTGTAAGTTACCAGCCTCCCTCCCACTCCCCCACTCCACAGTAGAGGAACCTGCTTTCTCCCATCTGCTGTACCCTGCAGGGTCGGTATTGTATATTCCTTTTTCTTTATTTAATTCTTTTTTCATTTTACATACTAACCCCAGTCCCCCCTCCTCCCTCCCCTTCTCCCATGTCCCCCACCTCCCATCCACTCCTTCAGAGGGGGTAAGTCCTTATTTGGGGAGTCAGCAAAGTCTGGCATACCAAGTTGAGGCAGGACCAAGCCCCTTCTCCCCTGTATCAAGGTTGAACAAGGTATCCCATCATAGGGACTGGGCTCCAAAAAGCCAGTTCATGCACCTGGGATAGGTCCTGGGAGTACAAACTTGTTCAGCCACTTTGGAAATCAGTGTGGCTGATTTGGAAATCAGAAAATTGGGAATCAGTCTACCTCAAGACCCAGCAATACCACTTTTGGCATATATCCAAAGGATGCAAAAATCTCACAGATTTGCTCATCTGTGTTTATAGCAGCATCAATAGCCAGATCCTGAAAACAACCTAGATGCTCCTCAACCAAAGAATGGATAAAGAAAATGGGGTACATTTACACAGTGCTGTTGCACCTGAACTGTAGTGCACAGTGTTAACTCCCCTCCTATCCTGATGTTTTCCGTGATCTTTGACCCAGGAGGCCCAATTACTGACACCACATGCATTGATAATCAGTGGTAAACTGGGTTCTGGGATGACTCCATTGGCCAAGGTGGGCTTTCCGTGTGACTTTTTCCTCTCTTGGGAAAGTGGGATGGAGAAACCAGGAGACTGATGGGTAGATTTTGCTCCAGTGACTCCTCCCTGAGCAAGCTGGAGTAAGTCACTTGCTGTATAGGTATATAAGTTTCTGCCTCTCCTTGGATCGCAGGGCCATTGTGAGGGAGGCACCTGCACCCAGGAGACAAATGGTCTCTGACTTCATAGAGGAAGTGTGCCCTGCTCAAAGGAGGCAGCTTTCGGGGCAGTGGGGGAAGGTAAAAGGTTACAACTTGGTAGGTTTTCTGTTCCAGTTTTAGAAAATGACTTTAGGAGCCTAGGGATGGACCAGAGTAGCAGAAACTCATGGCATGCAGTCCCCTCCTCGTCTCCCCCAGGATCCCTGTCCCCCATGTTTATGTGATTGCCAGCCTTGGACAGGTAGGGCCAGTGGTAGTGTTGTTCACTGCCATATGGGAGATTTTATTTGTAGGCTTGTGGGATTCCCACCCATCCCTCCCATTCAGTCAATCGCAGGGGCTCTACTCTTCTTACACTCAAGTTCCCGTCCAGGGTTACACCACCTGCCAGCAGAAATCTCCATGTTAGTCATAAAAATCACCCCCAGAGGGCGCTATCGTCCAGTGAGTGGGCACAGGGCCTGGAAGCTTTAGTTTCTGTGGCAAGTTGGAGCTATCTCAGTTTCCCAAAGGGAAGCCCTTTAAGATGGACCTCAGGAGTCAGTCAGTCACCCTCTTCCTTTCGTGGGGACCTCAACCCATGAAGGGGAGACTTTCTTGTTGTCTTTGCTGTGTTTAAGAACTTTCTTGCATAAATCTTATTTAAAATGTGAATAAATCAAATAGAGTTGATTGGACCTAAGGGGAGGAGATGCAGCAAAGCCCAGTGTAGCTACTTTCCTCCTCCCTAGCTTAAACTTGATTGAGATTCAGGGCCACAGTGGTTCCCACTCTCCTGGGGTCTCCAGACAATGAGATGACACATACTGGATCCCACATTTCCATTGCACCGTCCCTAAAGCTCAGATCACACCAAGATGCATCCTCCACCCAGCTATTAACCTGCTGTGTGGCCTAGTCAATGACCTCCTCTCTCTGGGTATGGAGCCGCCCAGTACTACCAGCCACCCAGAGCCCTGAGTCAAGGGCTCAGGTGTGGGCCTGGCTGAGGGGCTGCATCTTTCCTTGGCCTAGCAGAGGTCTTGTTATACCCACCTCATGTGGATGGTACATAGGTAGCTCAAAGTGACACAGAGCAGAAACGGGTGCAGGGGCGCTTGGTGCAGCGAAAGGTGGATGCTCTGCACATGATACGGCGCCCTGGGGGGCGGATGCGTGTGGGAAGCCCCTCAAACCAGACAAACTGGTCAGTTACATCCAGTGGTTTCGTGTCCCTCATGGGAGTTCTGTGATGGTAGGTCTTCAGGAAGACAGCTTGGGGCTTCTTAACCTGTGGTTTCCTCTTCTGGCCTCTGGTATGCAAGCCAAGACTTGCTCGTGTCTTGGGGACTTTAGACTTTGCCTTCTCTTTTCTCCATGGCACTGCTGCAGGTGACCCCTTTGACCCTTCCGTAGACTTCCACCCATTGGACGTTTTTGTCTTAGATTTTCCTATGGACTCTGCTTTCTTAGATTCCGGTTTCTTCTCAAGGGCCCTAATTTCTTGGAACTCTCCATTATTTTGTTTTACTTTGTTGCAGACATTGTTGTCCCTGACAGGGAGAGGAAAGGTTGTCAATAGAGGAAGGGTCTCTCTAACTCAGTCCTGAGCAGCTGCTGTTCAGGCTAGAGCTAGAGCTAGACCAGAAAGAAATGTCTCTAGTGCTTGGGGATAGACAGGAAGATTAGTTATGACTGAATGGGTGTGAGGCATTGGCAAGGCAGAAGGCATGACCAGTATTCAAGGATCCTAAGGGTATATATGTTGTTGGCACCTGCCACTGCACCAGGCTTCTGTCTCAGCCAAGAGGGAAGACAGTTCAGTGTTCCTTTCAAATTATATTCTAAGGACTCATGGGGTTCTGAGGAGGTTTCTTCAGTACCCTCCTCTGAGCTAGGTAGAAGGCAGGATGAGGGCAAGGTGCCCCTCACTTGGAGACAAATTTCTAAGAGATGCTTCTGTACTTTAAAACCATGGTGGTCTGTGACCCTGAGCCTTCTGGTTCTGAGCTTCCTGGTCACCCTGGAAGCTACATCAAAGAGAGAAGCAAGGAGTCAATAGCTTTCACACATAGAAAGAGTTCATCGGGAGTGTGAGTACCAGACTGAGCCGGACAAAGTCCCGTGCTGGCTCATCCTAGCTGATGACAGTGATGGCCACTAGGTACCTGTTGTCAAGATCTGCCAAGTAGGAGGCAAGGAAACAGCCACATTCCGTAGAGCAGTCTTTGGAGACAGCATGCTAGCCTCGGATCATCTGGATGGGGTAAGACATTTAACCTCCCAGAGCGTGGCTGGGGTCTCCATCATAAGACTGGGGTAATGTCATGTGGCATGTACTTAGGATTGTTGAGAAGAAGCATC